GACAATACTTGGGATGAGTATGAGTAGGTGTGAATGGTAGTAGAGGTCTATACTACCGAAAGCACAGGACTCACACTTGGATCAGGGAAAGTCACAAGGTTACCAAGAAGCTAGTAATTAATTCCGTTTTGTTCATGTATGTCGTTACTATCGTTTCGGTAATGACTAAGAAGATGGTTGTTAATACAACCCTAGTGGTCAAATCAAATCGATTCTGACTAAGATGAGTATGTTAAATGGTTCAAATAACTAAGATTGATGTAGCATTTGACTTAAGCCAGACGATTGAAGTGAAAGATAATGAAGCAATCAATAGAAGTATCGCAACTATTGTAAATGTAAGAAGCTTGTAACTAGAATTGCTACATGCTAGAATGTGATTATTGTTGGGTTTTGTGTACTATAACACTCCTATGGTGCACATATAACTATAATAGCTTTGGATCTAAGTTTTCTCTAGTTATACATGCAACAAAAATTTCGAAAGCGTGAAGCCTGCAACTAGCATACAATTTGACATATGAATCATAAAAGTAAGTTAGAAGATTACCTTTGTGTTGTAACTTGTAGGAATTGGTCTTTCAAGAGCCTAGCACCACAAGTGTGATGCCTCAAATATATTATATTTGAGAGATAAGTAAGGAGACATAAAATCGGTTATAGTCTCTTTAAGGATCCTCATAAAAATTTAGTCCATATCTAATCAACATGGATCATTAGCTTAGTGAACCTTAGATTGTCCTTGACAATTGTTTAACCAATTTAGTCATAACCGGTAACATTTGCAAAATTAGAATACATGAATATTATATCATATGCAATCGATCCTATATCTGAAGCATATGGGATATGATTCAAAATTTCTTACATAAAGACATGATAATTGACCAGTCTTTTGCTATAACATTTCCATACATAGAATTCTCATGTTGAAACATTCCAATATGGTAATCATTTATATATATATATATATATATATATATATATATATATATATATATATATATATATATATATCCATGACAAAGTCCAATTAATATTTCAATCTAAGCTTTTAGATTTGAAATGAAGTATGAGTTCCTCTCCCTTAATTATAGCAAAACAACTTTTTAACCTTTGCAACATTGCGAACTGAAACTTTTGTTTTCTATAATTAACATTGCTAACTCACAAAATTTAATGTAATAATTGTGCTCCCACTAGAATAATAATTACATTCTTATTAGCATAACACTTATGCTCCCACTAGCTTTGACATGTACTGCGGAATAAGTTGGACTTCTAGAATCCAATACTTGTTGACTTTCTTACCAAAGTTATGATTTCTGATACAAGGTGCTTCGATAAGACTTGATCTAGGCTTCTTAAACTTATACACCTTTCCTTAGACTGCTCACATGTGTGTCCAAACAATTTTAGAATTTAAAGCAATAAGTCTCAAATGTTTAGACCTTTTGCCATTTCTCACAAAATTGAACTATGTAGAGCGATGCCATAATCATAATCGAATTTGAGAATGCATATATCACAATTGCTATCTCCTAAAAATCTACTTAGTGAAAAATTTTCCTCACAATCATTTTCATGAAGCGGAGAAAAACCTTTATCACTTAGATTAATGGTGTATGTGTTCCTGTCCATGTGAATTTGTCATAACCATAATTACAAGACAAGGTTAGTGACAAATCCAAACTCATATGTACTGAACTTTTTCAATCTTAATTTATTGCCACCTGGCAGTACAAGGGCCTACAATTGCTTCCAGGTTGTTATGCAACCAATTGAAAACTCATAGAACTCACATGCATAGTCAACTTTAACTGGAATGGGAACAAAAACAAGAATATGTCAACACGATAGGTTACAAACCTCAAGTCGTGTGCTAGCGATAATCAATATGTTTTTTCTTGATTAGTTCTTGAAGCTTTTTAAGATTTTTAAGACTCCCATTGTCCTCTTAACATATAAGATTCTCTTTTCAAGACTCATTCCTTGACCAACAAATATTCAAGAGTTAGTATGGATTCTTATCAAGAATGACACTTCATATAATCGGTATTAGCTAGTATTTGTCTTATCCAAGACATCACAACTACCAATGACAAATGTGTTATAAACCTACTTAAGATATGTAACTCAAGTTAAATTCTTGGAGAATAATTCTAAGACTTGATTTTTGGAAAGAAGTATGACTCTCCTTAATTGATTTAACCATTTCAACAATTCTCGATTCCTCTTCTTAGTCATACAAATGCACTAAGGCGTCCTTAGAGGATCAGTTGTGATATGGTTTTCATAATAATTAAAATGATCATAAAACATGATACTAAATTATTCTCCTTTCCTTTCAGATTGGAGAAACTTTTAATCTTTCTGCCTGTTTGATTCCTTTTATTCGTTCTTCTATACATTGAAACTTTTTCAATGATTCAGAATCACACTTAATCTTGTAATCATAACCATATTTACCAAACTTTTAGTAAATAATACCGAATACTCTTATTGTTCTTTATGGTGGACCTAACCAGTGCACAATGATGTGTACTAGATCCCTTAGTCCTTCACTTGACTCACATATACATGTTAACAAGGAATTAGTCTTAATTTCCTAAAGATGAAGATTCTCATTCATCATACAATACAAGTTGCATGATTCCAAGTTTTTGTCCAAATGAAACTTGGTTGATGAGAATCCTTCCTTATTCGGTAAATCTTGACACTACCACAAACGAAAGAATCAAATCCATTTTCAACATTGCTAACAATAGAAACATACAAACATCAATTTTCACAAATGACATTGTAAGGATGTATAATTAAGATTGTAGAGACCCATTTTTATAACGAACGGTGAGGGGGGAAGTAAGATATCTTGAGATTAATCGTGTTTTTGTAAGTATGAACATGAAGAACATAATATTAGTTCATGAAAAAGACTAAGAACAAAAGAGAATAATAATATTAATGAAGCAAGAAGAACATGGTGGGAGAGAAAATCTCCCTGGGTGGGAGAACCCACTGACTTTCTCTCTCTCTAGATTACATTGTGAGAAAATTAATGGGATAATGTGACTGTAGCACATGGAACTTTTAACATTTGGCTAATTTGGTCCTTAAAAGTTTTTTTTGGTACATTAGACCATTAAAATCGTAATTGACCTTTTAATTACACCATTTTAGAAGGTTTCCTGGTTACAATGCTTATGTGGCATGCTGATGTGTCAAATAATCTTACGTGGTCCAGTTGTCGATACAGGCTTATTAATTGAAACCCTCATTCAGACCTCCTTTCAATCTTTACTTATCCTTCTCTAAAAAGTCAAAGACTTCTCCCTCCCTGACTATTTCCATCCTGAAGAAGAATGTCTTCGAGCTCATCAACGTCAAGGAATCAGCTACAAGTCACTCATGTTTAGTCGCAAGAAGGGGTAAAGGTTTGTGATTGTGTCGTTCCAGCTAAAGAACGAACCTGGTGGAAGATAACAAACCCTGGGAGGCGATTCTGGAATTATCAAAACAGTATGGTAGGTCCCGATTCTCTTGATTTTGATAAGTTAGTATTTTATGGTTTGATGTGTTGTTTCTTTCTGTAAAGACGATAATGGTGTATTTGTATTTTGTTTCATCTATTAAAAACCTAATTTTATTTCCTTTCTTGACGATCACTGTGAATAAAACCCATTTCGCTCGAACATTAAAGGTAGTTGATTTGGGATTGTCAGTCAAACCCTAATTTTATTGGCTTTTTATAGACTTGGTTGAGGAAATGTAGCTTCTTTGAATGGAAAGATGAAGAATAGGCAGACGAGTACTACAAAAACCTGCTATATTCTCTAAAGCAGAAACTGGATGCCAAAGATGAAATGTTTGAGATGAACAATTTGAGGAGAAGGATTGCTGAAGTGGAGTTTCTGCTATCACAGGAGCAGTATAAGGTGGCAAAGAGTGAGAAATAAGTTCATGATGCAAGGAAGGCAATAGGCAGGTACAGGATGATAGTTGCCCTATTGTTTGCTTGCTTGGGCCTATCTGTTTTGAAGTTAGGGGGGTCAGTGTAGTTAGTTTGGTTGGTTAGGGTAAGCTTTTGTTTTTTTGGGATCCCTTGTATTTTTTGTAAAGGCAGACTAGAAAGTCAATTCCATAAGGGCATTTTGTATGTATTGAAGCTGGTTTTAGTTATAAGTTGGGGTTATCAACCTTAATGTGTTGATGTTGTAAGGTGGTAAGTCCCTAATGAAAGGGCGTATGATAAGTAATGTAAAAAAATATTCAAAGTCCCAATTGTAGGGCATTTTGTATAATCAGATGATGTTTATCAAACATATGCATGGTCTATATTCCCAACAAATATATTTAATTAGGAAGTGGTCCATGTGGAAGTACACTATGAGTATGGGGACCATTTTAATAATGAAAAAATGGGACCTGTGAAGCCATTAAAAAAAACAAATCTAGGGCCATATAAAACATCCCCATGCACGCACATTATTCCAATTTTTTCCATGCATAAATATTCAAAGCCAAATGTCATGATTTTACTTAAAATGGTAACATACTTTCATACTTCATGTCATACATAAATAAATGACCAACATACCCTTTTCTTGCATACATAAATAAATGACCAAATTACCCTTTTCTTACATACATAAATGAATGACCAAATTACCTTTTTCTGTCATACATACTTAAATGACCAAATTACCCTTTTCTTGCATACATAAATGAATTACCTACATACCCTTATCTGTCATCAATAAATAAATGACCAAATTACCCTTTTCTGTCATAAATACTTAAATGACCAGATTACCCTTTTTCTTTCATACATACTTAAATGACCAAAATACCCTTTAATGTCACACATACTTAAATATAAATGACCAACATCCTATTACATAAACTTTAAATATAAATTACCATCATCCTATTACCTAAACTTTAAATCCAATTTACCATCATCCCATTACATAAACTTTAAACACAAATTACAATAAACACTAATCAATTACAAGATCTTTTCCCTTCGAATTTCCTGGATCATTAACACCACCAATTGTTTTGCCTAATTTCAGCTTCAGTATTCTCTCTGACTTTCTTCTCCTTATCCTCTTCAAAATATCTGAAATTGGCCTAACACAAACTTGCTGAACTTGGTTAACAGGAGCAACCTCCTGAACATTACCATTATCCACTTGGGTATTAGGTTTAACCTCATCAACCTCCTAAACATTTACATTATCAACTTGGATAACAGGATCAACCTCCTCAGCCTCCTCATCTTGAACAACTTGCTCAACCACAACAGCTTCCTCAACCACATCAGCTTCCTCACCCATAACACCATCATCACCTTCATAACATCTAGGTGGAGTAAATTGCATATAATGACTAAAATCCATTGCACTACTAGATTCAACATCAGTAGGAGCAACTTGCATATCATTTTGAGTAGTATCCATCTCAATTGGAGTCATTTCAACCTCTTCATGTTGTTGTGGTTCACTTGTACTACCCTACATGGCATGATATAATTATGTTAGTAACAAATTATATGTAATTAATCTTATATTTTAATTTGTTTTACATGTCCTGTATTTTGGTTCACACATACTTTTTGTTTCTTCTGTTTCTTTACATTTAACTTTTGAGGCCTTCTCTTTGGACAAGTGGCCTTGTTGTGACCTATCTCCTTGCAAATACTACATCTGATTTTCTTTCCAGCCTTAGAAACCATGTGTGTTACTGTATTCTCTGTAGTGGATTTCTTCCTCTTAGTAGTTGGCCTACCAGGCATCCTTCTATTAATAGGAGGAAATGGTGGAGTATAGTTTGTCTCTGGCCACATGTCACTGCTATTCATGGGAGCAATTATGTAATTGTATGCCTTTCTAAATGTGGTTGTGCTAAACATGTTGTCTACATAGGCTTCTACATCCATATTAAGAAAGGATATGCTAGCTACAGAATGAGCACATCCATATCCATTCAATTGCCACAACCTACATGAGCATGTTTTTCTTTCTAAGTCCACCTCATATGCATCTATTGCTCCCCTTACCTCAAACTGGTTTAATCCACTTGGTAGTACCTAATAATGCCTTTGAGCTTTTTTAAGCAAATTCACCTTATCCCTTATCTCTGGACAAATATGATTTCCCCATTGTTGTCCCTTTAATTTCATGTTGTAGATTCTTTCCATCATGTATAATCGTATCTCCTCTAACATGGTAATTATGGGCTTCTTCCTAGCATCTACTATTACAACATTAAAACTTTCTGAGAACCCATTTTCAACTGTATCACAACGCCTTCCAGCTTGAAAGAAAGCTCTAGACCATGTTTTAGGATCTTTCTCCATGAGATATTGATGGGCATCTGGGTTCAATGTCTCAATTTCTTTCATCACAACTTTAAAAGCATGCTCAGTTGTGGATTTAGATGCTCTCCAAAACAAGGTATGATATATGGCACCAGTAAATCTCTTCTGCAAATTTTGACAAATATGTCTAGCACACTGCCTGTGCTCTACATATGGCAGCAACTCTTTAACAGCCTCTATCAAACCATGTATTAGTAAAAAGGTGAAATTCATATAGTCTAAAATTAACATAAATGCATTACTATGTAAAATACTAACCTTATGTTGGTATGACATTAAACTGAAACCATTGCCTAAATTCAAGTGTAGATCATCAATGAGAAGCTCTAGAAACTACTTCCAATTCTGCTTGTTCTCCACATTAACCACTGCCCAAGCAATAGTATATATCTTGTCATTTGCATCCCTCCCAATAGCACAAAGCAATTCTCCCTTACAAACACCTTTAAGAAAACATCCATCAAGACCAATTACCCTTCTACACCCTTCAATCCAACCTTGTTTAACTCCTTGAAAACAACAATAGAACTTGCTAAAATATTTCTTTCCATCTGGCCCATCCTCCATATCTAGTTTCACAGTTGACCCAGGATTTGTCCTTAAAATCTCATGACCATATGACCATAGCTTACCATAATGTTCAACAAGGTTTCCTTCAACAAGTTTTAGTGCATACTTCTTTGCTCTTCTACATTGCCCCATACTAACTTGGATACCAAACTTGGCCATTACCTTTAACCTAAGCTTCCTTACACTTATTTTCTGACTTTCTACAATCTCTTTGGTATAGTGACTCCCAATCCATGCATATGTCACCAATGATCCAAACTTGAAGTTCCTAGCACAATTATGATAAGCTTTTAGTGACTTGATTTGGAAATTCTCTTCATCACTCATCCAGGAAGCCCATAATCTAAATGTGCAAGCACCTTTGCTACACCTCAACAAAAAGTCTTGTCCTATTATTTTTTTCAAAACACAATTGATATCCATTAGCTACAGCATAGTTACACAACATTGATTTTACTTGCCCTGGACCCTTAAATCTCATCCCTAAAAATGGTTTTTGTTTTTTTCCAGTGTAATAGCTCATTAAATATGGAATGAGCTTGTATGTTAACTTCAACTTCTCTCCCATTGTCATCATCTACAATGTTTTTTGCATCCTCATCATCAACACATAACTTACTCAACAAAGGATCATTTGATGTCCTATTCATATGCACTACATCCTCATTAAATTCAAAGGCAACATTTCTAAGTTCATCTATGTTGTCTTCATTTTCACCATCAATACAAGGGTCATGTTCATCATCATCATTATCTTCATCATCATGCCACCCATCAACACCAACCCCAATATGATCCACATAAACCGAAATTACACCATCTGTTCCATAAGCATCAAAAATAAAAGAAGAATATTCGGGATTAAGCCCTTCCATGAAGGACATGTCTGGTTCACAGTAGTAATATTTTCTACACTCTTCATGCATGAAACGTTCGCAGAAGGTCACAAACTCAGAATAAGTCATAGAAGAAAATTCAACATCATTGAAGATGGTTTTAACACCACTAGTGTAAGAAAAACGATTTCGATTAAATACCCCTTGGTAGTTAAGTTCCACCATCACAAACAGTCCATTAGGTACCGATTGTGCCATTGCTGCGAGTTCTTTGTTTCTTTCAGCTCGATCATAGGAATGCTTCACAAACCCTAAATCAGTTTCTTTTACAGCTGAATAATGAAGAAGAAGACTAGTGAAGCTCGATAGCTGAAGACGAAAGGCTTTAAGCGTCGTATTTCATTAATTGATGTGGCATATCTCACGTGGCATTGGAATTAGACAAAAAATATATAATAATTGACAAAATGGCATCGTATAACCGGGAAACATTCTAAAAGTTGCTAAAATGGTGTAATTAAAAGGTCAATTACGAGTTTAATGGTCTAATGTACCAAAAAAAACTTTAAGGACCAAATTAGCCAAATGTTAAAAGTTCCATGTGCTACAGTGACATTATCCCAAAATTAATCTTCTAAGAAAAGTAAAATGAGCTAGCTTAAAAATAAGAAATGACCAACTCTCCCTTTATATAGGAGGGAGAGTATTTACACCACAAAATACAATAAAGGGAAAATACAACCTAATAAACACTCATTATTTGTGGAACATTCCAATGCACCAACATTCTCTCCCTAAACGCTTACAAATGATGAGAGATACAATAAGTGATACAAGGCTATAATATAGTAATCCGACTAGCAAGTATGATAATAAAATGAAATCAAGTGCTGAAATGTCTCTAATACTCTAAAGTGTCTGTGAAGTCTGAAACTGGCCATGAATCTCTAACAATGAAGGTCTTCGGCTTCAAAGCACAACCAATGAAGTAGAAAAAATAAGATCCAAATCTTCAAACCAGTCATAATCACCCGAAGAAGGAGGTCATAATGAGCAAGTAGAAGATCCAATAAAAGAACCACTTCGGCTTCAAAAGTCTGAAAAACATCTTGAGTTCTCAAATCATAATACATCGAAATTCTTCAAAGAATAATCTGCTAAAAATGTGAAGCATCCATAAAATGTAGTCCGGATAAAGATAATGTGAGTCCAAAAACATGGTCCAGCAATGCCAAAAATTTGATCTAAGGACCAAAAATACGTGTCACGTCACATCGCCAAAATAATGTTCGTCTTCAACATATCACAAATCCAAACTCGTGAAACCATAAGAATCTGAACCGAAGGCAAACACACAATCATCCTGTGTTAGAGTCCGAATAATAAATAATCTGAATCGGAAAACATCGAGTAATGCCAAAAATTTGATCCGTAAAGACCAAAAATAAGTGCCACATCGCATCACTAAATAAATAATCGTCTTCAGAAGTCTTCAAAAATCCAAACTCAAACAATCATAATAACCAAATCCAGATGATATTCTCTCCCTATTTTTGATAACCAATGACCGGATATCAAAAATCAACAAATCATCGGATGGAGAGTGCGGGATACCAAGAGCTATTAGAGAAGCTCTCCCTAGATGTATGAAGGGTCTCGATAAGAAATGAGAAAGAGTAAAATAAATACTCTTGCGGTCATGAGGAGGCGGGTGACATAGTTGCTGAAGCTGTGCTGAGAAAATAATATGTTGTGCCAAAAATATATATATCCAAATATCCAAACTGCAGTGCCAGAACACTTGAAGTGGCTTTCAATAGAAAATAAAGTCCACATGCTCAAGATACATGATTCGTCAACCAAAAATCATAAGCAACAAGTCATAAAATCCCATAACATGAAGATTGCGAAACAACTTTGTTGATCAATCGCCGTTGCGGTGCAAGCATCACAAAGAATAATATGAAGTCTGACTGCGGTAAGAATATTCTTCCAATAATAATAAGCGGCATGAAATGAATAACCAATGTGACAATCCATGGGTAGGTGGTGGCAAAAATTGGTGTTAAAAAAATAATTGGTTTTATTAAAAAATTGGTTATAATAAAAAATGGCTAATTAAAAAAAATTAGTGTTAAATAAAATAATTGACTAAATAAAAAAAATAATTGGCTGAAAAAAATTAATTAATTTTAAAAAAATAATGCAGAAAAAATATGAATAAAAAAATGTCGTTAAAAAAAATAAAGGAGAAGGAGGATAAAAGGTTAAGGAAGAAGGAGGGAAGGAGTGGATGGGAGGAGGAAGAAGGAGGGAACGGAAGGCTGAAGGAGGAGAGGGGGCGGAGCTGAGGAAGGGGGCGCTAGAGAGAGGAGGCTACGAGTCAGAGGTTGTTGCGGATCAGAGGGGAAGGCGGAGGGGTGGGTTCGGATGACAGGGGGTGAGACGGGTGAGTTCTGCCTTCGGTAGGGAGTGGTGGTTGCGATAGGAGGCTGGGTGCGGATGGACCTGAAGTGGACTGCTGTAGGCAAGGAGCAGCTAGGCTGCAGTGCGAAGAATGGTAAGCGCGCATGTGGTCCGAAAGATCCCAGCTGCGCATGTGAGCTGCAGTAGGGCGAGCAGGCAAGCGAAAGCCTGCGGATGAGGACTTCGGTCCGAGGTTGCGATCCGAGAGGATTCTGTAAAAGGAGACTTCAGTAAGCAGGTTGCGGTCAGCAGGCTAAGAGGGAAGGCTTCGGATCCTCAGCCAGGAAGAAGGGAAGGCTGCGGTCAAGAGGCTTCGGATCAAGGCTTAAGAGGGGTTGCGGGGAGGCTTCTTAGGAGACTCCGGTAGGCAGTTTTTGGTTGCGGTTCTAGGCTCCAAGAAGGGCTGAACAGGTGACGAAAAATGCTATTTTTTCATGAAAAATGGTACCGCGAAGGCCATTTATTCATATTTTAATGAGGAAATCTTTTTATAATGCATTCTAAATCAAAGGTAGGTCTTGGGAAGGCAAAAAGAAGAGTGTACAGGGGGTTTTTAAGGGACAAAAGGTGATGGGATTGGACAATGTCACATGGTTTTTGCTTGGGAAGGCAAATATGAGTGAATTACTTTTTACCCAAAAGAGCAAAAAGGACAAAGTGCTTTTTGCAAACACAATATACGTCCAATATTTCTTCAATTAAAGATCTACAACAAGAATAATGAGAAATAAAAGTCTTCATGCCTGAAGAAGATTTCCAAGTTGGTGGGTAAAAAAAAAGAGCACCACTTTAGAGAAAGTAAGCCCATTAATTGTGTATTTTCATCCAAGAACAAGAGAACTCCTAGAGCAAATTCTTCAACAATTTGGAGACCACAAAAATAATTTCTTCACCAAAATTTTCATTTCTTCAACGGCAAAAATAATAATCTTTTAAGAACATATTCTTCCAGCAACAAATAGAACGAGCAGCAGCAACAACATTTTATTTTTACTAAGATAGAATCACCCATAAGATAGAACTAAGAAAGAACTTCATAAAAAAGTCCGGTAAGAAACCCGAAAATTTTACTTGCAGAAACACGGAAAAATCACAAGATAATCACCGAACGGGAGTCGTTCCCTTGAACTAATCGTGAGATCTTCAAGGTACGGCTCTGATACCAATTGTAGATACCCATTTTTATAATGAATGGTGAGTGCGGAAGTAAGATATCTCGGGATTAATCGTGTTTTTGTAAGTATGAACACGAAGAACATAATATGCGTTCATGAAAAAGACTAAGAACAACAGAGAATAATAATATTAATGAAGCATGAAGAACATGGTGGGAGAGAAACT